AAATGTTGAAAATGGATGTAAAATACATTTCATAAATGATTAATAATTTATTTGGGTAACATAAGATAAGTAAATAAATGATATTTTAGTATTTGAATTATTGAATGGAGTCTTTAAATAGAATTCAAATAAAACTATCACTTTAATCAACAATAATCAATGTGAGGATTATATATTATTTCCAATTATACATAATAAAGATAGAAATGTGATATTGATAAGACACAAATATCATATCTATTTAATTAGACAATTAAACGATGGCACATTTCAAATTCTTGCATAATTAAATTGTTAAACTCATGAATCTTTTGGAACAATGACCAATAATGCATAATATTTAGTATTTTGGGATAATAAATTGAGAAAATATTCATCATATGAGATATTATATAAATGAAATATAAAAGAAACTATATTTTATTACCTTTTTTTCTTTTTATTAAGTTATGAAACTGCATAAAGGATTTAAATTTAATCTTTTATTACTTTATTTAAATTATATTTTTTATTACAATTAAAATCATTTTTACAATATATTTTATTTTCTTTTAATAATTCTTCCTTACTATTTATTGATTGCTTTTCAACAACGAATCATAAAAATATGCCAAAGCTAAATTAAAAATAAATTTTTTCTGATCAAAAGTTAATATTCATATTTTCTAAAGCTAAGTTTTCTAATATTTAGTTCAATCAAATTTATCAAATACTGTTAATATATGACTGAATAAAATACACATATACATACATAAAATTACTTATTTTTAGTTAATGTATAATTTAATTGATCTCAATTTCATACAATTGGAGAGGCGTTGATAAAGAAAAATATTTAAACAATTCATAATAGCTAAATATCATATAATCTGCTAGAACTTTTCCTATTTAATGCTGGCAAGAGGATGATTAAAAACTAAAGGAAATTCTTAGATGTAGAATAAGTAAAAACAGCTGCTAAGATTTTCCTTGTACAAAACCACCGATAATTTATAAATAGGAGGGTTATAAATGTTTTTAGTATCCTCAATTA